TGGCTCTGCTGCTTCGGAGGAGGCCTCGGCTCACCCCGGTCACTGGCGGTACGATGTGGAATGGCTGCCGGTTTGAACGGCAGCAGCAGGCACCACAGTAGCTGCCTAGACCTTGGCGATGCCTCAGTAAAGTCTACGTTTGAGCTCCGTGTGAAGAGCAGGCTGCAGACGATGGGATCCACAAACTCCGGGGTGAGAATCAGAGTCTCTTTGTGTTCTCCTCGGTGGAGAGTTTCACAGGCATTGCTGCCCCGTCGCCATCTTGCCAAGACCTCTGACTTCTATTTTCTTCATGTGCATTTGCAGGGATATAAATTCCCCTCTTACTACAGCTTTCATGGCATCCCAGAGATTTTGGTAAGATGTTTCTTCATTTTCATTTGTTTCCATGTATCTTTTAATCTCTGTTTTGATTTCATCATTGACCCAAGAATTGTTTAGCATCATACTGTTTAGTTTCCATGTCTTTGTGGGTTTGGGGGAGACCTTGTTTGTGTTAATGTTTATTTTTATTCCACTGTGATCTGAGAAGGTGCATGGTAAAATTTCAGTCCTTTTAAATTTGCTTATGCTTGACTTATGGCCAAGTATGTGGTCGATCTTAGAGTACGTTCCATGTGGTGATTTGTAGAATGTGTATTCTGTGGTCTTTGGATGGAGGATTCTGTAGGTATCAAAGTCCATTTGATCATGAGTCACATTGAGGTTTCGGATCTCGTTGCTGATTTTTTGTCCTGATGATCTGTCTAGGGTTGTGAGTGGAGTATTGAAGTCCCCAGCTATGATGGTATTGGAGTCAATATCTGTTTTTAGTTTACCTAGGAGCTGCTTTATGAAAGTTGGTACTCCTATGTTCAGTGCATATATGTTTAGGATGGATATTTCTTGTTGATAGATTGAACCTTTTATCATTATGTAGTGGCCTTCTGTATCTTTTTTAATTTTTGATAGCTTAAAGGGTATTTTGTCTGAGATTAAGATCGTGACTCCTCCTTTCTTTTGTGTTCCATTTGCCTGAAAATTTGTTTCCCATCCTTTTACTTTGAGTCTGTGAGTGTCCTTTCTAGTGAGGCGAGTCTCTTGAAGGCAATAGATTGTTGCCTCATGATATTTTATTCATTTTGCCATTCTATGTCTTTTCAGTGGTGCATTTAGTCCATTCACATTCAAACTAATTATTGAAATGTGGGAATTGATCCCTATCATAATATTCTTACAGAATTTTTTTTCTTTCTTTTTGTGTGTTGTCTTTCTTTTGGTTTTAGAGTTGAATCATGTATGTTTTTAATCTTTTGCCTGTACTCTTGTGAAGAACATTGTCGTTCTTTTTTCCTTTTCTTCTGTGTTCAATACTTTCTTAAGTGTTTCTTGCAGAGGTGGTCTGGTGGCAGCGTAGGTTCTTTGGGATTGGATATCTGGGAAAGATTTCAATTCTCCCTCACTGATGAAGCTTAGCTGGCTGG